GAAAAGAAAATGTATGGGAAATATGTTCACACTTTTTGCAATTACTGTAAATAAGAACTATATGTTGTATATATACACTGATCTTGTACATATAGGTTTTATACTGACATCATTAATTTTGCCACAAAGACTACAGCGATACACCAAAAAAAAAAGAGGCCATCGAACCATCATCATCTCGAGTATTCGTCACCATCTCTCATTCATGTTCACAGTTTCTGTCTTGAAATTTTTCGAATTCAAAATTTGTTTATAATTAAAAAATCGAAAGAAAAAAAAAAAAAACAATTTGTATATGACATAATCCGAACAACAAAGGTATGGTATCTGCCAAATGTTCAATACGCCAAAGTAATTACTTTCCTTTTAAGTAGTTGTGGGGAGCATTCTGTAGGTTCTGGTTGAGTTAAGATGATCTAGTGACACAATTTATTTTAATTTATTTCATATTTTTTGAGATGTTAACATATGGATCTATGTGCATATTTGAGAACAGTGAAGTAGAAAAGCATTAGGTCAATAATAATATTAATAACAACAATAGCACTAATCATAATAATGGTGATAGAATTACTGATAATAAAAACAAGTAAAGTAGTATCAGTCGGTTTCGCCGACAGATGTATACCCCCAGCCTTGAGCTATGATTATTTAAACTGTTGACCTTTTATGGGAGGGATTCCGAAGCAGTTGGCCAATGCTATCCAATTCGTATATGACCTAAGACTGATATAAATATTACAACGTACCAGATTTGGACTACATCGGCTACTTCCTATACTTTACAGGGTGAGATGAAAAAACTGCAACCAACTTCAGACTGCTGTCATTTCTAAGCCACTCATCCGACAGCTGTTAAAATTATTCCAGTGACAGCTCATTATATTGTTTACAAGCGTACAAAAGCAAAAACAGTTATTCGTGATGGAATTCAAGCGTGATTGTGTGATTTCTCTGTATTTTGCTGGAGAACCACAAGTGGCTATTTTTAGAGCACTCCAGCAGTTAAATGTGAATAAATCTTTTGTGTCTCGTTCCATGGACGGAAGAAAATATCAACATCAGCAGGAATGGTTCGAAAAGTAAAGAAGCCACTTGATCCAAAACTCGCTTCGCAGTGGCCGAAAAATGGCTCGTGAGCTGAATATTCCAGTTGGCACATATTGAAAAATGGGCACGGAGTAAAGCCATTGAAATTTCAAAAAGTGCTAGAACTTACAGCGCATCAGAAAGAAAATAGACTGAAAAGAGCTAAAGAGTTGCTTCGCTTGTCCGAAAGTGGTGAACTGCCGAATTTGGTTTTCTCCGATGAGAAAACATTCCTTATCCAGCAGTTTGTAAACAAACAAAATGATCCGCTCGTGTTTACTTGCCAAAGAGGTCAGCTGAAAATGTGCACCTTCGGTTGGCCACCAGAACTCAAGGTGTGGGCCGCCATAACAGCCGATGGTCGCTCTCCGCTCGTATTAATCGACCGTGGCATCAGAATAAATGCCGAACATTATCGCGAAAATATTCCGGAGGATGTATTAAGGCCTTGGGCACGCAAATATTTTGGACGCAGATCTTGTACATTACAACACGACTCAGCGCCATCGCACTCAGGGCGAGCCACCCAAGAATGGTTACAAAATGAGGTTCCTCGCTTCATTTCCAGCGCACAATGGCCACCAAAATCTTCGGATACCAATCTGTCGGACTATTGTGTCTGGAATATTTTGGAAAGCAAGTTTGACACTAAAAAATTCCGAAGTGTCGATCACCTCAAGCAAGCGCTTCCGCGGGGAATGGACCAAAATGCCGCAGAGCAACATTCGGTCAGCGTGTGACTATTTCATTGGGCGTTTGAAGGCCATAATTCGTGCCAAAGGGGGCCAATTCGAACAAATCTAAACTTTTTCTAAAGTTTGATGCTATTTCCGACATTTTTTTGCTTTAATTCAATAAAATTTTAAAAAAATTAAAAAATTATGGCCTTTGCCTTTTTTGCAGTTTTTATCTCACCCTGTATACTCTCTTTCTAGCCATATGGCTAAGGGTATGATAATAATAATAGCTGAATATAATCTAATTCCGAAGTTTAAAAATAGTTAACAACCAATACAAAACCATCCTTAAGGACATGTGTTCTACATAATAAGGATCAGGCATTGTAGATAACACATACAATATGTTTACTTAAAAAAAGTAAAACAACATGTCCCATTTTGTCATGAAGTAAACATCAAACTGTGTGGGTCACAGTTATCAAGGGGTCACGTTACAGAATCATAACAGAGTAAATAAAAACATATTTATGGAGTGTGTATGTTTCTTGTTTACAAATTCCAATGCAAATTTACCTAGATACCGAACAAGGACATCTATTTACCTGCCATTTGGTTTGCTTATTGGATTGTAAAACTGAATGGAAAATATTTGAAAAAATAGAAAAAATAAATATTTGCAGCCTCATAAAGAACGTGCTTATGAAATATGACACCTTTTCGTAGTAGTAATCAGGGTTGCTTTCCTAAAGGAAGCAATTTACAAAACAGCTCTTGCCATACGATTTACTTCCTGGCTAAACTCTTTTGTTTGTCAAGTAAACGATAGTTTGTTTATGAAGCGGGGAAGCCTCTCTCCCTCTATGGACACTAGTTAGAAATTATAATACGAAAACAAATCGTAGTAGAGAACATAAATAGACCAGATTATCACTTAATATCTGCAATTGTTTTTTGTTTCTTCATTCTCCCATTGCAGACAAGACAAAACGCTTTGAAGCATAAAACGAAAAGGGTATAAAATTACATAATTCATTATTATTACTTATTATTTTTAGTGACAAAACCAAAAACCAAAACTTAAGAAACAACAACAACAAATATAACGCATCAACAATCGTAATGAAATTGATTAATGTCAAGCTTGACTAGTTTTCCATCAAACGTCATTTGAAGAAGCGGGAAAAAATAGGGTGTGTATTATTTGCTTGGATATATATAGGCTTAAGTCAAAAAGCATAGCGACATGCCTGCCTCTGTTTTTTTTTTTTGTAAAAATACAAAAAAAACAACATCTAACAGATTCGCAGTTAAATTTTGTGGGAATGTATGTCATTGGGTGAAAATGTCATGAAAAGATCAGAAAGGCAGTTATTTGCGGGAAATGTTGGAAAGATCGATAATATTTTCTATAGAAAAATGTTATTTGTATCCAATTTTCATTTGAGAAATATCCTGATATTTGCTAAAGAATTTTTATATTTTCTATAGAAAAAAATGTACAATTTTTAAAAAGAAAACTACAGCCGGATAATTTTTTTGAGGAAAATATGTTATCCGGATATTTTTTTCCATAGAAAAATCTTATGGAAAAATCTTATAGAATTTGTTACAATCTTAAAAGTACCGAATGTAGCCGTATGATCTATACGAAGACATGGACCTGCATAGGCAACTTTTGTCATAAGCTACTCAAGATTCAAATGCGAAACTTGAAAAAAAAAATTCGGTGAATAATGCAGCTAAAATCATCCAAATACCAAATGTCGGGAAGTGCCGTTATATGGGGGCTATACGAAGACGTGGACCAGCACGAACAATTTTCTGTCATAGGCTGTAGTATTCATTACGAACTTCAAATACACAACTTGAAACAATTCCGGTGAATAATGTCGCTAAAATCATCAAAATACCGAATATCGGGAGGTGCCGTTATATGGGGGCTATACGACAATTTTCTGTCATAGGCTGTAGTATCCATTGCGAACTTCAAATACCAAATTTGAAACAATTCCGGTGAATAATGTCGCTAAAATCATGAAAATACCAAATATCGGGAGGTACCCTTAAGTGGGGGCTATACGAAGGCGTTGACCAGCACGGAGAATTTTCTGCCATAGGCTGTAGTATCCATTAAGAATTTAAAATACCAAATTTGAAACTTTTCCGGTGGATAATGTCGGTTAAATCACCAAAATATCGAAAATAGTATATAGGGGCTATAACAAAACGTGGACCTACATGGACCATCTTTAAAACCAAAAGTCCTGCCGGCATAATACACATTTGAGTAAAATTTTATCAACCTACTTCATTTCGTTCGGAAGCTAGAGTGATTTCCACATATGGACAGATGGACGGAAATCTCTAAATCGACATAAAATTTTATGCTGATCAAGAATAAATATACTTTGTGGGGTCTAAAATCTATATTTCGATGTGTTACAAACGAAAGGACAAACTTAATATACCCTCCATACTCCCTCCATAGTGGAGGTATACAAATGTTATCCGTAGAATATTTTTAGTAGAAGAATATTATTCGTTTTATATTTCCTATAGAAAAATGTTATCCACAAGATCTTATGCGAAAAATATTTTCTATGTTATCCGGCTATTTCCCATTTTTGAATAGTTTTTTTTCAAATTTTAATTAAATACTGTCTTTTTTGTTATTACCTCCCCTCTTATTTCCATTTTTATTATTTAAATTTAATTCAAACTTTTATTTAAATGCCTTAGCATTTTATTTAAACAAAATTTCCTTTTATCCGTTAATATTTCACTTAAAAACAACTCATTTTGTTGCAATTAATGCTTGCTAATCATGTATGAAAATATGCTACCTATTGACCTTATCAATGGTGTGTTGTGTGGCAGCAAGAGAGTGAGTACAACTTTCATATGTGTCACGGAGTAAGAGAGAGAGAGAGCGAATTGCTACAGTGAGAGTCGATGGGTGGTAAAAGAAAACTCACCCCATTCTATTACGGCAAACTAAACAAATAAATGCCACCACTAGTGAGTGAGCGCGCTTTTGAATACCATGCCTGCCTGCCTGTTTTGTCACAGCAAATTGGAAAAATATTCTCCCGCTGGGTTGAAAACAAAAACATCTGCTGCTCTTCGTGTGTGTGTTTTTGGGTGCTCATTGTCGGCGCTTCGTTGTTGAGCGAAAATTTCAAATTGAATGCCGAGTTGTGGATGAGACTACACGAGCCAATGTTCGATAGATTCACTTTTAGTTCTGTTCTTGCTTTCTTCGGTTTAATTACATACAACACAGGAAATACAATCTACATCTTTTAGTTGCTTTGCTTTGTCTTGCCACCGTCGTCTTCGTTGTCGAATAAAATAAAAATACAACGGATTTGTTTTGATTTGCTTGATGATTTTTTAGCTTGTCTCGTCTGCTGCTGCTGTCAGCAGTTAAACAATCCCAGAGATACAAGAAAAAAACTTCAAAAAAGGAAGAGTGGAGAAAGATGCAAAGCATCTCCCTGTGAATACCAAAGAAAAAAACAAAAATAAAAACAATGACAATAATAGTTTAAACTATTTAAAAGAAAATGTATTAAGTGCAATAACAAATTGTGAAAGTGTATAAATAAAGAAAAAAAGAAAATAAAGAATATTTGAAAAATCATATTTTGCTCGGATAGCCAACCAGAACTGAGTGCTAAAATGTGTATGTGACAGCATCTGTGCGGGGACCTCAATGTGTACTTTTCTGAAGGCTCTTTTTGTTTTTGCGGATGCTGCAAAAAATATTATTTTAAAGAAAAACAAAATATATGTTCTCAATACTCAATAAATAAATTATCAGTGTTGCTTTTGGAGCCAATTTTCCGAGTCTATTCAAAAATATATAAGTGAACGACGAGTGTATAATAATTTAAATAACAAGTAAACATTGCTTTTGTTATACATATATATTCAACAACCACAACTATAACTACGTGTGGCTACGTCTGGCTGTAACGTATATAGGAAAAGCCACAATATTATTTTCAAACATACATACGTATGAGTCTGCCCATCGATTGCGTTGTATATATAAAAAACAACAACAAGAAATTATAACATAATTTCGTTTTGAATTCATCACATCACTTGTTGTTGTAGTCGTTGTTATTGTGTTAATTTATTTTAATTGAACTCGATTTTATTCGTCGCCGTCGTCTTCATCGTTCTATGGAATAGCAACAGTGCGCCATCGAACAACATCAAGATAAGGATCTATTTTACAGATGTACAACAGCAGCGGACGCTCAATTTGGAATCCCATGTGGTAAGTAGGCACACAAACGGTTATATTTTTACATAATTTGCTACTTCCATTGCCCACCAAAATACACAAAAACAAAACAATAGAAATAAAACGGCATATGCGAGTTGAAAATCATCCCCAGTTCTGTTTTTTTTTCTCTACCCAACCACCAACTATCATGAAACGGATTATAGTTCATCAACAGCAGGATAACAATTAGAAATTGTTAATGTTACCCCCCTATACGATTCCATATTTCCCGTTGTAGATGGTTCATTGACACAAACACACTCACACGGACACATCGATTGACATACGCTTTCATTTAAGAACATCCCTTGCATTGTTATTGTTTTGCGTTTTGTTTTCTAAGGCACATCTTGGTTAATCTCTGTAATATTTCCAACACTCTCCATGTTTTGTTTTCATATTTCGCCCTCTCTCTCTTTCGCTCTTTTACTACGATGCTCTGTTGTTAATCTCACATACATGGAGAAGGGATGCTGTGAATGAATGCTGTGATATTTAGTGGTTATGAATCATCATTTTCAATTGGAGATGAAAAGCAAAAACAAAAAAAAAAAAACAATTTTCAATGGCAGATGTCGTTTTTTTGGCAAATTAATTGCGAAAAATCTGGCCACATGGGGGAGTGAGATGTGTACAGCATGTTGGCTTCTTTTTATACCCTCCAGCATAAGGAGGGTATATTAAGTTTGTCATTCCTCGAAATATACATTTTAGACCTCACAAAGTATATATATTCTTGATCAGCATAAAATTCTATGTCGATTTAGTGATGCCAATCCGTCTGAGGAAATCATTCTAACTTCCGAACGTAATAAAGTAGGTTGATAAAATTTTACTCAAATATATATTATGTCTGCAGGTATTTTGGTGATTTAAGCGACATTATTCACTGGAATTGCTTCAAATTTGGTATTTGAAGTTCGTAATGGATGCTACAGCCTGAGACAGAAAATTGTCTGTGTAGGTCCACGTCATTGTATAGCCCCCATATAATGGTACCCCCTATTTTTGGTATTTTGATGATTTTAGCTACATTATTCCCCGAATTTTTTTCAAGTTTCGCATTTGAATATTGTAATGGCTTATGACAGAATTTCCCTATGCAGGTCCATGTCATCGTATAGACCCTAATATAACGGTTACATTCGGTATTTTTAAGATTTTAACGGATTTTATTTATTTTTTTTTTTTGAAAATTGCCAATTTGGTGGAGGGTATTCAAAGTTCGGCCCGGCCGAAAATATAGCTTTTTTACTTGTTTTCCTGCTTATAGTTAAGAAAAAGTATAATTTAAAGAAGCTAATAAATCTGGGTATTCTAATAGTTTGAGTCATTTCCACAGACAGATGACCTGGATAGGACAGGACACAAATAAATTGAAATGCTGATGATGAATTTGGCCGAGTAAAAAATAGTTGTAGCATGGCTTCTGACTTTACTAGTGTTCTGTTGCCGTACTTTCTGGGCAAAGCTGTTCTCTTTAGGCGAGTGTTACATTTCTCTCATTTACATGTTTTTCCAACACACTTTGTGGGATCTTGGGCTACGGAATTCGATCCGTTTACGAAAATTCGTCTTTGATTGTTAAACCTTTCGATGCCAAAGCTCAATTAGACGAAAATCGACCTAACTATCCCTAGTTTCAAAGTGTAGTTGTGAGCAAAATAGAAAAAATGTTCGTTGTTAAGCTGGGAATACATAAAGCGCTTATTTGGCTGGCTTAAGTCATCGGCTGGCTTCTTCGGAAATGAACAAAGGAGCCTAGGGCCAAAATCGAACTAGGTCAACCTAAAACTCCTTTATTCATCTACGAAGGAGCCAGCCGATGACTTAAGCCAGCCAAATATGCGCTTTATGTATTTCCAGCCTTAGTGTTTTTGAATGAGTAGTGTAGGCAACAGATTATACGATCGATTTAGAGGCATCGTATTCAAACAATATAAAATAAAATAAAAAAATCAGTTTTCAATAAAAAAAATCGAAAAGTGGAAAAGTTTTTATTGATTTTTTTAACTTTTCCTCCACAAAAAAACGATGAGTCAAAAGTCGACCTATGTATCCCTTGTTTCCATGAATGGTATTGCTAGTGCTAATACTAATAATGCAACATTATTTAGTCCAATAAAAAGTTATTTTTCCAATAATAACCTGTCTGTAGAACGTATACAGGTCTTATAAACATAAAATACGTTCTATATAGTCGATCTTATATATAAGTCATTACCTAAGGGTTTCTACGGTAATTGACAGTCCTTTTTAAGTTCGAAAGAAGGCCACCAGATTGAGTAATGATTTTGATTAGTTGACAACTTGTTTTTCATTAGAATGACAATGATTCTGAAACACCAACCCAGATAACCCGGTTTCATCTCAAGTTTTATAACAATCGGCATAATTGCCTTTTAGATATACATACCTATATTTGTTTGTAATTATATTAATTGCAAACTAACAAAACAACGAAAAAAGTGTAGCAAATCCTATAAAACGTTCCCATGTCGCGATGCGATAAATCATGTAATAGGCGCTCTTTTTTTCTACAAATAACAACAAACATCTACTCAGTGTGTTAATTAAATGCCATTTAAGGTAATATTACCCCACACCCGTATCGGTGTTGTTGTTGTTTATATTTTTTTTATTCAATCGAAAACTGATTAATTAAAAATGTTCGCATTTGTGCATTTTGAAATAAAAAGCCTCTCTAGGTTATGTGTGCATTGACATTTCAGTTTCAGTATTGAATTTTGTTGCTTTTTTTTGCGACGGAATTTTTTTTGTATCCATTTGTGGTGCCGACAATTTCAGTTAGCCGGTTGATTGGTTAACGGAGGCTAGTTCGGTGACAACGTGATATAATTTTATTGTATTTTGCAAAAAAAATATATATTACGTAAATTATTATTATTGAATTTTCCCATGAAAAATTTAGGAAATCTTAACGGAGTGTTGGGTGAAAAATTTTGAATAACTTAGCTTTTTTCGGTGATAAAGCTAAATTAGACAATCTTAAAGATCATATAGTCTTAATATATTATTTTAATTCTAAAGTTTTTAAATAATTTAACAAAACTTGTAGATATGCACTATTTCATAACATAGCTCGATTGGGGGGCTTATCTACACTGTTATTTTGTCATTATTGTTGTTGTTCCAGAGGGGCTGCTTACTCCATTTGTTATTTACAAAACTTTGTGTTATCAGCTGTTGAACATAAATATTGGTCATTTATTTTGAAAAAAAAATGTCATTTCCTGGCTTTCGATTTCTTTTCATGCACATTCATTATACGAGTACTATCAATATGTCTTCACAAGAGAACTCTTACCATTGAGAGAGGGGAAATGAGTTAACCTCTTTCATTCCATGTTATTCATTCTTAAATTCTTTGAAATTTTTCGTTGCAATCAATGCCAATGACACATTGAAGTTTGAGAAAGAAAGCCGCTATGTGTGTGTATGTGTGCGTGCAATGTGTTATCGATAGAAGGAGAACGCTTCATTTGTATTATTTTTTTCATATATTTTTTTAATAACGGATGATGCCGCTCAAAAGAGAGTTCTAATTGGACAGGGATTAATTGATTTGTTATTTCTCATTGTTCTGGACAAAAATCTCTGTTTACATTTAAATGCTTGCCATAGGAGAAGAGAGATAACGGATGAAACTTCGCAAATGAGTATTATTTACATTTCGTTTCCTTTGTTGTGAATTATTGGACACGAGGTTCAATGAAAAAGAAAGAGATAGTGGCATGAGTTGTGGGGATATAAAGGCGTTTTACGAAGATTCTTAATTTATTACAATCAAAGGAAGTGAGAAAATGTATAGAGGGCTTTTCATAAAATGTTGGATCTGTCGCAGATTCAAGATGAAAAGACATAAACGCATAAAGTTGGAATATAGCAACATAGTTATCAATGTCTAGTGATTGGTGATCTTAATGGGACCCATCTTTCAGTCCACATTTTCTTTTGCCGTTAATTGCATTGGTAATGCTGCTCTGAAATTCTATTTGCATACTCTCAGCCATATGGCTACAGAGGGTATATATCATTTGATACGGCCAAAATTTGACTCATAGAAATAACAGTTTTAGACCCTAGGTCTCTTTGGAAAAGATCCGTTTGAGGACATTTGGAGTCGATCTTGCGGTATCCGTCCATCCGTCTGTTTGGCTGGTACGCACGATAACTCACGAATCCGATTTTCAGTATCCGATTTGATCCAAACTTGGTACATCGTAATATTATTATCAAACTTAGATCGGGTTCGTAGATGGGCAATATCGGTTCACTGCTTCTGGTACCTCCCCCACAAAATGTCAAAATTTTCAAAGAAAATAATTTACCGCACAGAAAGAGAAGGGATAATCCGATTTTGCTCCAACTTTGCAAATCCTAATATTTGCATCAGTGCTACAGCGGGTGCGAAAACGAACAATACAGGTTCACTTCTTCTGGTACCTCCCCCACAAAGGGTCAAAATATTGAATAATTATAACTCTTATGAAACGTGATGTAAGTGTCCGATAGTCTTCAAATTACACACATTACAATATTTTTATTAACCCAAGGTCTGGTGTGAAAATGGAATATTTCGGTCCACTCCTTCGGGTACCTCCCCCACAAAGGGTCAAAATTTTAAACATCCATGAAGCTCATAAAACGCGAAATTAACATCCGATTCCATTGGCACATCGCAATATTTCAATCAACACAAGATGTGTTATAAAAATGGTAGAGATCGGACTATTCCTTCTGGTACCTACCCCACAAAGGGTCAACATTTCGAATAACCAAAAAGATTATAAAATACGAAATAAGGATCCGATTCTCTTCATATTTAACACATTCCATTATTTCTACTAAAACAACATCTGCTGTAAAGATGGGATATTTTGGTCCACTCCTTCTGGTACCTCCCCCACAAAGGGTCAATATTTCGAATATCCTTGAAGCCCATAAAAAACAAAATTAACATCCGATTC